GCTCTAAGGAGAAGGTCATTTTAAGGATTTAGAGGATATTGTTGCTGTTAAGTGCCCTTGAGTCAATTCCAACCCAAGGTGACCCTGTATAGGATTTCTGAGGAGTGGCTGGTTAGCTTCTACCACTAACCTTGTGGTTCAAGTGATTTTGTAGTCCAGTGCATTAACCCACAGCGCCACACCAGGATTCCAGCAAAAATATATAAAAGGAGGTAAAGGAAGCAATAAGGAGGCCAGTTAGGCAGCAGTACAGAAACAGTATTGGTGGTTGTTGTTAGGTGCCATCAAATTGGTTCAGACGCACAGCGACCCTACATACAACAGAAAGAAACACAGCCCAGTTTTGTGCCATCCTAACATTTGGTGCTATGTGTGAGCCTATTGTTGAAGCCACTGTATAATCTATCCTGTTGAATTCACTGTGTCATCTATCTTATATTTGAACTCACATATGACTTATACAAGGAGCTCTTTAGCATAGTAGTTACAAGTCGGGCTGCTAACCTCAAGGTCAGCAGTTTGAAACTACCAGTAATTCTGCAGGAGAAAAATGAGGCTTTCTGCTCCCATAAAGATTTACAGCCTTGGAAATTCTATGCAGGGTTGCTATGAGTTGGACCCGATTCCATGGCACATAACCCCCATGAATCACCAAGAAGAACGTCCTTCCCTAGGGATTGACTCCTCCTAATAACATGCCCAAAGTAATTGAGATTATGTCTCACTATCCTTGATTTTCAGGATCATTTGGAGTGGAAACTGACTTTACAGAACCTAATCATAACAACTAATACAGTTCTATACTCCTGCCTGGCTGGTTTCCTATTGCTTCGTTTATTTTCCTTTATAAAGAAGTGATAGGAAATAAGCTCGGATAAAATGTATACAGGAAATCTTGAATGCTGGTTAGTGGTGTACAACCTTCCCAAGGCTTTGTTTTCAGCCCTGAAAGATTTAGTAATAATTTTTGTGTAGACTCATCTCAAATATATATCTTATATCTGGTGCAGTGGTTAAGCACTCAGCTGCTAACTGCAAGGTAAGCAGTTTGAATGAACAGCTACTCTGCAGAAGAAAAGACCTGGGAATCCACTCTTGTAAAAACTGCAGCCTAGGAAGTGCTGTGGGCAGTTCTACTCTGCCATATAAGGTTGCTAGAAGTCAGATTCCACTCAACAGCACAATCAGCAAAAACAGCATTTATCATTATCACTTACTACTCTGCTGAGTGTGTTGTATCAAAATTTCAGAAATTTGTTAAATATTTGTATCTAAGAATCTTTAGTTTAGGGGGTAGAAAAATCAGAATCTTTTTTTATCTTCTACCCGAAATCATACTCTAATTCTGAATTTTCTAAAAAATTTCTATTTCTATTAATTTCAGTTAATATTATTGATATTCTGCCTGATTCACAGCTTAGCATACCTGCATCTTTTCTCTTTTTTTCACCTTTGTCCACCCACATACACACCATTCCTTCTGTAATAGGGGAACTTGCAGAATTAAGGGAAAAGCAATTATAGAAGGGGAAAAAAAAAACCCTACAAGATAGTATTTGCTTAATCTTATTTGTCAGAGCAAAAGGGAGGAAATTATTTTTTTCCCATTTCCTTTGAGTACCTCTACTTGAAGTCATATTTTACCTTGATGAAATAGTTCCCTATCACTTTTTCCAGATAGTTTTTTCTTCCCTGAGTGTACCAAAACCCCAAACCAACTGCCATTGAGATGATTTCAACTCATTGCTACACTGTATAAGGATTCAGCGACTGCAAATCTTTACAGAAGCATACAGCTTAATGTTGTTGTTGTTGTTATGTACCATTGAGTCATTACTGACTCATAGTGACCCTGTGCATAAGAGAAGGAAACACTGCCTGCTCCTGGGCCAATCGCACAATTGTTGCCGCACTTGAACCCATTGATGCTGCCATATTGCCAATCTATCTCACTGGGGGACTTCCTCTTTTTCTCTGA